TTAAGCATGCCCAATTACCACACAAGATTATATGATTACTCATGGATGTTCTCAAACAATTTTAGCCACAGAGTTGAGCCCATTCTTGTTTCATTCTCAGAAGGTAATCGAATTTTCATGTTCTTGCAAAGGAAAAACTAGCTTTGTAAAATGCTGACGGTTTTATCATCTAAAACTGAATCTCAGAACTGAATATTGTTGTTGGCAGAGCATGAGAACAGGCTCACTCACAAGAAAATGGAACATTTCTTGTACAAAAAATGTGTCACACTCTTAATCCCCCTTTTCAACCTCTCCCCCACCCCAGCATTGAATAGTTATGATGGCACATTTGGCTGGTGGGTAAATCTTTGTGAGTGTTGCTGTTCTGAGGTTTAATCCAGCTGAATTTTGAGGCAGCAGGCTGGCCTCTGGCAAATTTTGTTTTTTTTAGTACAAGCAGCCTCAAATGTGTGTTAACCAAGAGAGGGCATTGAATGCCCCATTCTCCATGTAAGTTCTTAAAAATAAACTCGAATCTAGAGAGTATCACAAGTGTTCAAAGTTTTACTCCCAATCCTAACTTATTTCTGGATTTTGAGCCAGGGTACTAAAACAAACTCCCTTGCTTGCTGCTATTTTCTGCACTTACTTTAAAAGCCAGCAAGTAAACAAATACACTTTTTAATTTTGAAATAATTACAGTTTTACAGTAAGTTGCACAGAAAATAGAGAGGTCTCGTGTATTCTTCACCCATTTTCTCCTATTGATTACATTTTACATAGTTACACTACAATATCGAAGCTAGAAAGCTGACATTGCTACAATTTGTGTTTGTAGTTCTATGCCATTTTATCACATGTGTAGATTCATGTGACCACCACTAAGATCAAGATACAGATGTATCACCACAAAAGCCACTTGAGCTACCCTTTTATAGTTATATCCACTCACCTCCTCCTATCTTCCTTAAACCCTGATAGCCACTAATGTATTCTCCATCTCTTTAACTTTGTCATTTTAAGAATGTTATATAAATGGAATCATAGACAGTTTACATTTAACGTAATTATTGATATGTCAGCAATTAAGTCCGCCATTTTGTTTTGGTTTTGTCTTCTGTTTGTTTCCCTGTTTTTCATTTTTCTGTTTTCTTTTTCCTGCCTTCCTTGTTGGGTTAGTTGAACAGATTTTAGAATTCCATTTTATCTGCAGTGTTTTTTGATATCTCTCTTTATATAGATTTTATAGTGGTTGCTCTTAGTATAATATTGTATAATCAAAGTCAACTGATGTTGACATTTTCCCAGTTTGAATGAAGTATAGAAATCTTACTTCCCTTTAATTACCTTTTCCTTCTCCCATTTGTAATTGGCTTAAATATTTTCCCTATGTACATTGAGTCACATAAAACAATGTTATAATTTTTGTTTCAATCATCAAACATAATTTAGAAAACTCAAGAGAGGGAAGGCTATTGAATTTACTCATATTTTTAGATCTTCCTGTTGCCCTCTCTTCTTCCTCCCAGAGATTTGAAGATTCTTTTGTCAAAATCTTTTCCTTTCTGTTTCAAGAATTTCCTTTAGCCATTCATTTAAAATAGGTCTGTGGTGACAAATCCTCTTACTTTTTCTTTACCTGGAAAAGTTTTGTTTCCTCTACATTTCAAAGTATATGTTTATTAGATATAAAATTTTGGGCTAACAACTCTTTTATCTCAGCACTTGAAAAAATGTCGTACTAACTCCCTCTGTCCTCGTGGTTTCTGATGAGAAATCTGTGGTTATTGGAATTGTTTTTCCCCTATAGGTAAAATATCATTTCTTTCTGAGTGCTTTCAACCCTCTTTCTTGTCTTTAGTTTTCAGAAGTTTGAGTGTGATGTGCCTTGATGTGAATTTCTTTGAATTTATCTTGTTTGGAGTGCACTGAGCTTCTTGAATCTGTTAGTTTATGTCTTTTCCAAAATCTGAGAAATTTTCAGCCATTATTTATTTGAACACATTTTTATTCCTACAATCTTCCTCCTCTTCTTGTGTCTGATGACGAATGTTGGAACTTTAGATCTTTTGTTATAGTCCCACAGGTCTCTGAGTTTCTGTTCATTTTTCCCTTATTATTTTCTCTTTTTGTTGTTCAAATTGGGTAATTTCTATTATTTATCTTCAAGTTCATTGATGCTTTCCTTCATCCTCTCCATTCTTCTGTTGAGCCCATCTGTTGAGTCTTTATTTTAGCTATCATATTTTTTAGTTCTTTAATTTCCATTTGGCTGTACTTTATATTTTCTATTTGTTTCCTGAGATTTTCTATTATATCCATTTGTTTCACGCATGTTCATAATTGCTCACTGAAGCATTTTTATGATGGCTGCTTTAGAATTCTTTCAGATAGTTTCAACAACTGTCTCATCTCAGTGTCAATGTATGTCAATGATTATTTTCTCATTCAAATTAAAATTTTCCTGGGTTTTTGTATAATGTGTGATTTTTTCATTGAAACCTGGACATTTTGAGTATTTTGTCATAAAATTCTGTATCTTATTTAAATCTTTTTCTTTAGCAAGCTTCTTGTGACACTACATCTGGAGGGAAAGGTGGAGAGTGATTCCTCATTCTACTATAATATGGGTGTGAAAATCTAAGTTCCTCCTCTTACACTGTTCCAGAGGGGAGAGGTAAGAGTGCCTTGTTACTGTTGAGTATGGTCCCCATGTGGCCTCCACTAATACTGTGTGATGGAGGATGTCTCATTATCACTACATGGACATGAAAGTCCAAGCTCCACACTCTTGTCATCTCTGACATTGCATGGTGGTAGATGGGGTAAGAGTGCCTTGTTACGAACAAGGGTGGAAATCTTGGTTGCCCACTCAGCCTTTGCTGATGAAGGTAAAGCTGTGGGTTTTTTCTATGGTGTTTGGTTGGGGGAAGATGATTTTTGTCTAAAAGTTTTCTGTCTTGCTAGACTGTTCCTTTCCTGGTCCTTTAGCTAGAGACAGCAGGCTTTTTTTGGAGTTTTTGTTGTTGGTCCCATTGGCATCTCCAGGTTGCCAGTTTCATGTCCAGGTTATATGAGACAAAAAGAAAACCCAAGAAACTTGGGACTGAGTTAGATCTCCGATTCAAGGTCCCCAGCCAGTCTGCTATCTCTGCTTCACCTTTGAGTATCTTATGTTTGTTTTATGTATAATGTCCAGAGATTTTGCCTATGCTTAGCAGGAGGAATAGGGAGAAGTATTTATACCAATTCACTTGGTTTCACCCTTAGTATTTCCATAATTAATAGTAAAAATAATGGCTGCTATGTTTTGAGTTCTATCTACAGGACCAGCATCATGCTAATTCATTTAATTCTCACAGTAAGATTATGAGGAAGGTACAGTAATTACTGTTGCCATTTTATACATGAAGACACTGAAACTCAGAAATAATTCATGGAAACATTAGAACAGTGTCTAGCAACATATTAATAAAGTCTAGGAAATATTATTATTAATTATCTTTAGCATTTCTAACTTGTATGAAGGACCTAATTTGTAATAGAGAGTTAGAACTCCAACATAGGACAGCCCAAGCTTATGATCATAAAATCTAGGCTATAATTGCTCTCAATTTGACTGCAACCATCTGGATTAAGCATTTTCTTCTGCATCTCACTTTATGTCTTTATACAATCTTACTTATTTCACTGCTGCTATTTTCTTCACTTTCTCTAGAGCTACAGTTTCCAAGTTTCCCTCCATTCATAATTTAATAATAAAATAACTAATTTGTTTGTAGTTTCTATGTGAAGGAAAAAGTCATCTTACATTTAATACCTTTAATATTTATTTCAAACCCTGTGATAACCCCAGGGACA